CAGATCCTGACAACCTACCTGTGGGTGCGGCAGGTGTGGATGGACGCCTTCCTGGCCTGGAAGAAGGACGACTACGACGGGCTGGACACCATCCGCATCCCCAGCAGCTACGTGTGGCGGCCCGACATCGTCCTGTACAACAGGTGGGTTTTATTATTTGTTGCGGAGCTGCGCAATCGTTTGGGGGAGAAAAAGCAGAACGGATTTGGTGAAAGTGCTGGAACGGAGGGCGCGGGTGGTGGTATGCGTGGTGAGCAGAGATGGAAGGTCAGGTGGGCTCTCACCAATGAAAATGAAGACTCGAGAAGCCGACCTACTAACAACATCTGGCAAAATCGCAGCGGAATTCGGACGATGCGCGGCACTCTTCTGCCTGTTTCCGATTCCGCCGCAATCTTGGTGGATGGCAGACAAAACGCCCACCTGCAGTTAGGCGCCTGACATTTTGGCATCAAAGTTCATCAGACCCTTGAAGTCTTTCTTCTCCACCGCCGCAGCGCCGACGACGAGTTCTCCAGCTCCATGGAGACCAACGTGGTCCTGAGACACGACGGTCAGGTGATGTGGGACCAGCCGGCCATCACCAAGAGCTCGTGCTCGGTGGACGTGGCCTTCTTCCCCTTCGACGTGCAGCAGTGTCACCTCACCTTTGGCTCCTGGACTCACAACGGCAACCAGATGGACTTGTTCAACGCCTTGGACAGCGCCGACCTGGCGGACTTCATCCACAACGTGGAGTGGGAGGTGAGAAACTTTGCGATTCCGAGAAGAGTCCGTTCCACTTTGGAAACGGGGCCCAAACCCAGATGACCGAGAAGCGCCGCGTCGCTGTTCTGTCTGGCAGGTCCTGGGCATGCCCGCCAAGAAAAACGTCATCCTTTACGGGTGCTGCTCGGATCCGTACCCGGACATCACCTTCACCCTCCATCTGAAGCGGAGGTCCTCCTTCTACATCTTCAACCTGCTCCTTCCCTGCATGATGATCTCCTTCCTGGCCCCGCTGGGCTTCTACCTGCCGGCTGACTCCGGAGAGAAGGTGTCACTGGGGGTCACCGTGCTGCTGGCCCTCACCGTCTTCCAGCTGCTGGTGGCCGAGAGCATGCCGCCGTCCGAGAGCGTCCCGCTCATCGGTGAGTCTGCGTTGACCTGCTGCAAAAAGCTTTGCCATCGTCTGTTTGCCACAGGAGGGCAGTTTGTACTCATTGCGACAGTCTTATTAGTATTAGACAAGGCCATGGCTTGATGAAGTGAAGCCCCTCCCCTCACTTGAACATACCTCTCACCATGTTTCATATGTTTAAAAAAAATTAATCCTGATGTTTTTCATCAGTCCCGTAGTGACCTCAGATGCATTCTGAAGAAAAAAAACCTAAGAATACTGATTGTCGTGTGTCGCCGGGCAGGAAAGTACTACATCGCCACCATGACGATGGTGACTGCGTCGACGGCCCTCACCATTTTCATCATGAACATCCACCACTGCGGCCCCGAGGGACGGCCCGTGCCGGCTTGGGCCGAGCGCTTCATCCTCAAATATTTGGCCCGCGTGTGCTTCGTGTACGAGCCGGCGGACGAGCGCCCGGGCGGGCCGGCCTCCCGCAAGCGGCCGGAATCAGACGGCGGCAAGTGCAACGGGGAAGCGCGGGGGGGCGACACGAGCGCGCGGAAGGACGAGGCCTCGGTCGCCCTGGACGAGGGCGGAGACGCCGCGGACGGCCAGCGGTCGGGAGGAGGCGCGGCGGAGAACCGGAAGGAGGCGTGCGCGTGCCACCATCACCAAGGGCTGCGCCGCAACGTGGAGTACATCGCCAACGCCTACCAGGACCAACGTGCCGCCCAGCTGCGCATGGGAGAATGGAAGAAGCTGGCCAAGGTCATGGATCGCTTCTTCATGTGGCTCTTCTTCCTCATGGTCTTCATCATGAGCCTCCTCATCCTGGGGAAGGCCGTCTGACGCGCGCCGTCTCTGTGTTGCTGTGTTGATCGCTGCCAAATGTATCGACAAGTCGCGTGACACATTAAAACCACATCCCCCTCACCCCCAACTTCCTGATGGTTTCTTACCCGTCTCGAAGAACGCTCCGTAGGCGTGTTGCATGTCACACGCGCGCTCCTTCGCAAACGTTTGGGGTTCCGAAGTCGGGGAATCCTCCGCGCTTACCCCGTGACTTGCTGCAGCAAACGTTTCACATTCGGACTTTTTGAGCTGTGTTTCTTCTCACGCTGCCACAACACTTTCAGAAAATTTACAATTAGCATCAATGCTAACGCTAACGCAGACCCGGAAGAGTTCCGGCCCGTCCGGCGAGATGACCGTCGCCAGTAAAGTTGGCGTGCCAATCGCTTCTCGCCGCCCTGCCGGACTTCTCCTATCAAAAAACCCAAACCAAAAAGGTGAAGCCGCAGGTAAGGCGATCGCCATCGCGTCACGCGTGGTCACGCGGATTTCATCACGCCGTGTCGGGGTGGTCACCTGAGCCTGATCGTGTTGTGTTTGTGTCGCCCTGTGCCATTCACGTCACGCTTCTGCGGTCGCGTGACCGCCATCGCGACATGTCGGCGTTGTGACGTGACCTTGACCTCGTGACCTCGATGATGTCATGTCTGTGCAGTCACGTGACCGCTATGATGTCACGTCGGTGTGGCGACGTGACCTGTCTGATGTCACCATAATGTGACCCGATGTCCCGTTTGTTTGGTCACGTGACCTTCGCTCTGCTACTTTTGTTGCTTGAATGAAACCGATGGCCATGAGCTTGCTGGTTCCTCTCCGGGGGAACATTCCGGCGCTTGTTGTTGACTTGACTTTGTAACATTTGACATGCGCTCACTCGTCCAACTTCCTGCCCCCCTCTCGCTCGGGCTTGAAGGTACAAATTCCACGAGGCGCCTCCTCCTCCTCCCCTCCCTCAGCTGTCCTCGCCGTCTTTACGGGAACAAGCTGATCCTCTTCAACATCATCATCGCCACCAACACCGCGGTGAGTCTCTGCGATTTTCGCGTTTTTTTCTGGAGCTCCTCAATGCAGCCGCGTGACGGTGATCTTGACGAAGGCGCTGCAAACTTTTGCGCCGCTCTCACTGTTGCGTGCGCACGCTGCATTGCTATCGAGCGCGCCAACGCTCCCTCAACTTACTCGCGCTGGGCTGCAAGGTGGAGCAACAGAGTGCATGCTCGCATTCCACCAGTGACAGGCTGCTGTCTTCCCGCCTTAATGACCTGCGTGGCCTTCTGTCTTCTCGATGGGCGTGTGACGGACGTGCGGACAGGTTTTGACGTGACGCCTCCCTTGCGCGTCATCGGTCGTCATGGAGGCGAGGATCAGGAATGTCTTCGGCAGCGTCAAGGTAACAATTGATAACGGTGGTCTGAATGCAATGATTACAATAAGCACATCCTGTTATGAAAAGTCACGTCCGCCCGATTTTGTTAAAGCAGCCCTTCAGTGAATTTGCCCAAACCCAAATGGGGGCT